ACTAGATTAAAGTAAAACTAATAAAACTTAAAGTAACCACAGGGCTAGAAGCTAGAGTTAGCTAAGGTGGACAACCAACTGTTACCGAAATAATGACCCGTTTTATGAGATCAAACAATGTACACCGAGTAGAGCTATGTATGTATAATTGCCCTTTATCTCAACCCAGCTGTATACTGCCTTCGATTTTTACAAGAATTTTGCCCATACATATGGAGAGACCATGAGAGTGCCGAACGCGTTTAAAAGATGCGTTATGACTTGTTATATGCTGAAGAAAGCATGCTTCATCTCTATCCAGCATTGAAACTCTCTAGGAAATATCTGAAAACTTTTTACCTTTTGGAGGGCTGAATTCTCTGGTCTCCATTCAAAAGCAGACAGATTAAAATCAATAAGTAGTAGCCCATGCAAGGAGTACGGATTCAGGCGCACAGACAGCAGATATGAATGGGACAGTGGAGGAGGGAAGCACCAATCAAGAATGCGGTCGCTAACTGCCAACGCTATCGCGCAGCAAAGGTCTTGCCACTCCTTGAGTTGCTTGCATCAACTCATCTGCCCCTACCTTGGTTTCCAACTGATTCATTTGGTGTGAAGGGGACGGGCGCCAAAGGTAATGTTGCCGGAGCGTATACCTTACCACGAATGAAATACATTTCCGGCTTCAGTGCGGTTACTCACTGGGGTGTGTGTGTTCCCCTCAGCTACATTCAAGACGCAGGAGAACTACCTGCCGCTCTGATGCATTAGACTGGTGAATCGAAAGTCCATGACTTGAAGTGCGGCAGCCAATCAGAATAATGCTCACTGTTTGACCCAACGATGGTCAGTTCACTGCAGCATTCTTGTTTATTTCGACTGCGTAGTTGTATTCGGCCACGGGCGAGTATCCAGATGGCGCGAAAAAGCCGATACACTTGTCTGCTGGTCACAACTCCTCAAGGGAGCTGTCTTGCCACTGTATCAAACCATGGTAGGCGCTTTCCTACCTGCGCCGACTCCGCATTGGAAAACTTGCAAGTGACACGCATTGGACGGAGGTTTTCACGATGCCTCAGCACCTGCATCCAACCTCATTCGAGTTTACTTTAAAGCTCCGAAGGTCTTAGTGATGCATAGAAAGCTCGAGAGCGGGTTCCATTCTGGGCAATCACTCCACATTTCAAAACTTTACATTCTTCTCTATATGCATAAATATTCGAGGTCCAGATATCTTATAGTTTTCATCATCCACCAAAGAAGATGAGGTAGAAGGGACGAGGACGTGGACCGAAGTGTATTCAGACTGGCGTTTCGGGCAATCGTCCGATTCTATCATCAGATTATCGTGGTGATTTTTCCTGTTTGTCTTGCCGCATACCTGGTATTAGTCACTTACAGAAAAAACTTCCCCGATAATAAAAACTGCTACGTACTTCGAAATGCCTTCCAAAATGCCACGTGCAACTGCCAACTTTTGGAACATTTACAGACCCTCTTTTATTCAGTTCTTCCTCCGTCACTCAGCACAACGAGAGGTAAAGTGTACATTTGGAGGATAAAAAACGCTTCTGATGTTTTCCTCCTTCACTTTCGTTTGCGTATCCTTCTTCTTCCTCGTATCATTACAAATAGTTGCCTTAGTTCATGGAACTCAAGTACAATATCACCCAAAACATTTTGCATTTTTTAAATGCGTCATTGACTACCAGTTTGACGAAGGAGGAGGAGGAGTAGGAGGGGGAGGAGGAGGAGGAGGAACGGGAACCTACACCACCACCAAATCTGAGAGTTAAAAGTTTGGAAAGCAAAGGAAGGAGACAGAGAGAGAGGGGCGGGGTTGACGTCTCACTTTTCGTCCTCCATGGCAGCAACCGCGACTACCGCCGGATGCGCCATCTGCAGCTGCATGGCGGGGAGCGTGGCGGAGAAACTGGCTGCTGACGGCTGTCCGTTGGCCTGTTTGCTCGCCTTGGACTCCATCTG